TGACAATGGAGACAGGTCTAAGTGGTTAATGGGCTACAGGGAGTGTATATAGTCTAAATACTCTGGACAAAGGCATCATTTGCTTCCCAACCAAGGTAAGTGGGATGGCATGCAGTTTCATCACCCAGGATGGCATTATTTAAAACTTCTGAATTGTTTTTCCTGGAATTTTCCATTTCATATTTTTAGATGATGGTTGACCAGGTAACTAAAAAAACTGTTGTTAAGGGGCCAGGGGACAAATTTAGTTCATACATTTAGCTTAGAGATCCTCTAAAGTCCAAAAAGGCTCTAACCCTTTAGAAAAATGAACATATACACATAAACTGATATGTACAAATAATACTAGGGTATTCTATAAACTCTAAGGCCCACCAATGGGACCCTGAGGGTAATAATTTTGGTTCCTTGATTGGTGTATGTCCGTGGAGTGGGAGAAAGGAAGAAAAAACAAAGAAATAGTAAGTCCTGAACTTCTCTTTAAATCATAGCCAACTATCAAAAGTTGACTTCATCCTTCATTCTTTGATATTAGAGTAAAATGTCTTCCCAAGGTACACATGTCTACCAATAAGAGTAATGGGTTGTGGATACATAGATGCTAATGAAAGGTGTCTGGAGCTATTTTTTGTCATCCCGAGAGTTAGACAACTGAAGTTTGAACCCCAGATTTGCCTCTGATTCCTCAGTGATCTTCGAGAATGACCCATGACCATCTTGAGGTTACTTTTTTCTTCTTTATGAAATAAGGACTACAGCATCCATCTTTGAACAATTGTCATAAAATTTTGCAATCATGTATAAAAAAGTGGCAAACTCTGGACTTTGTAGACAGTGGAAGATGTAGCTATTATTAGAGCCCTGGGATCTAGCTGTGTGTCTATCTCCCTGAAAATTTATAAATAAGTAGACATTTAGAAATACAGTTTATAAGAGGCCTCTAAAGCTCTTTGAATAACCTTCCATCCTAAGCTAAATTTCTTTGACTTTAGCAATTGTCTGTCCAGTGATAGTCAACTTGTTAAGCATTGTGTTAGATACAGAGGGTCTGCTGGGAGCAGGGGATTCTCATATTGTCTCCAGGGCTCTGAAAGGTACAGGTCCCAAGGGATCTGTACATCAGCAGAGATTAATTAAAGGGAGCATGATGAAATAATGGATATGAAGAGAAAGTTAGCTAAATGCAGCAACAATTTAGCAACCTTTTATATCATTACTAAAGATGCCATTCTTGAGGGGCTGGGGATTTAGCTCAGCAGCAAAAGTGCCTGCCTGGCAAGCACAAGGTCCTGGGTTTGATTCCTGATACTGGAAAAAAAAAAAAGAAAAAAAAAAAAACAAAGATGCTATTCCTGGCTTTGTCAGCTAAAAGGCTTCTGTATATCTCTTCTCCAAGGCAAGAAGTAGGGTGAGGCAAATAAGCCAGGATACTGCAAGCACAGGGTCAAATCTTACCTTTATTTAAATGTTTGTTATTTGTACATTATTTTTAACATATTTGTATGATATTTGTATGTAATTTTTACATTAATTTTAATACTTTTATTTAACATCTTGATTACTGAATGTTGGGAACCCCTCAAGCTTTTCACCCGGTCCTGCTCATTTCCTCTGAATTTCCATTTGTTGAACTATAGTGCTATTACATCCAGTGGGTCATAAGAAGAATGTAAAAGATTCAGTACCAAGTTATACTCAGAGATAAGTTTTATTAGAGCAAAGAACAGAGTAAAAAGATATGTACTGGTGGCAGGAAAAAGTTACACATTGGTGGCATTCAGAAAGGTACAACATAGACTTCTGATATCCTTTCTTGTCTGAGGGCACATGGGAGTGTACTCTCATGCTCTAGAAGTCGACATCAAGTACTTATATGGAATGACTCTGGCCATGGACACTCCTGTGGGCTCAGGGACTGAGGTCTTTACAACATGGAGGGATGTTTGTCTCATAAACATATCTTGCTATGCTATCATTGCTATGCAACCAACCACAACAATGAAACATGAAGATCTTAACAAAAAATCTAGGTGCACATTGCACATCATCAATATTGATTTTTATGTAAGCAACCTGACAAGGCAGCCTGGCATGGTGCATCACTCCAGGTTTATAACCAAGTCATCAATCTCTACCACTACAGTTGGAGGAGCACATACCTGAAGTTGATGAAGGGTCATTGAAGATCCTCTTGAAGACATGCAAGGAGTAAACAATCAAACTCACTACATTAGCTCTTTTCTCACACAGAGTCATGCAGATTATCAAAATTTCACCTTTATTATAAGTAGTCTTGGTGTTTCCCAGGAGTGCTTTCCCAACATTGAAGCTGTGTTGTGCTTTTTGAAGAACATGTCTAGATCAATGTCAACAGACTTCCTACAATTTCCTTCAAGCCTAGACTTCTAGATGTTCCACCTGTGAGAGAATTTGGGACTGTGGTGAGGAAATCTACTGACAAGGTGAAATGGTATCGCTGCTTTGCACAACTGTCAAGACTCAAAAGTGGGGAAAGAGAGAATGGCCTTCCAGACTGATGTGCAAAAGCCAGGCTTTGCGTCTACTTCCCACATGCTGCCCAAAATGACTGACAGGAGAGAGTGGTGTACACCCCCACTGAGCAGAGCCTCCCCCAAAGAAAAAGGATACACATGAGCTTATTCCTTCATGTGGGAACAGTACATTTACTCCCCCTCTAGACTTGGGGGAAAGTAGGAGAGTGATCTAGGACACAGGAGTGCTTTCCCAATATTGAGCATTGGAGCAAATTTTCCAGTGCAAATATGAGAAAAGATGCATATGCTATTGAGGAAAACAGTTGCTAAAGCCATATTCTTCTCCAAGAATAAAGTTCCATCCTACATTTCCAGTAATGGACAGGATGGCATCTTCGCTTGTCAGAGTTCAAAATCACTGTTCTTATTCTTATTCACTGTTTTCATGAATCACTGTGATAAAGATGGATTCCCACATCAGACCCATGCTTCTCAATCTCCAGTGGTGGGCCACACTGTCCTGAGAATCCAGCACTCTAGCAGCTTTATGTTTCTCCTCAACCACTTCAGTTGATGATGGCACAGAATAAGAGCATCAGACAAGGGCAAGGTTGTCTACTTTCACCACTCATTCAATGTGGCTCTTGAAGTTTTAGATAGAACAGTTAAACAAAAGAAAAACAAACAAGATATAAAGAGGAAAGGAAGTCAAATGATCCTTGTTTGCAGGAGATACAATCCTATATTTAGATGACCCTAAAGACTCCACCAAAAGACCTTCAGAGCTGATATATGAATTCAGAAATGTAGCAAGTTATAAAATTAACATTTAAAAATCCATAACTTTATTATACATAAATAATATACTAAGTGATAAAAAATCCAGAGAACAATTTCATTCATAATAGCTTTAAGTAAAATAAAATACAGTACCTAGAATCAGTCTAAGCAAGGAGGTGGAAGACTTCTACAGTGAAAGTTTCAGAACACTGAAAAACAAATCGAAGAAGGCACCAGAAAATATAAAGACCTCCTATGTTTATGGATTGGCGAAATTAATATTATCACAATGGCCATACTACCAAAGTTATCTACAGTTTCAGTGCCATCCTCATCAAGATATTGATGACATTCTTCAGAGAATTAGAACAAAAAAATCCTAAAATACATATAGAAATACGAAAGACCCAGAATAGCCAAAGGTAATCTTGAGCAAAAAGAGCAAGGCTGGAGGTAACACAATACCAAATTTCAAATTATATGACAATGCCATAGTAACAAAAGCAGCATGGCAATGGCAGAAAAATAGACACATAGGCCATGGAACAGAACAGAGGACATAGAAACAAACACACACAACTACAGCCATTTGATTCTGGACAAAGGATCCAAAAATATACTTTAGAGAAAAGCCAGCCTCTTTAACCAATGGTACTGGGAAAGCACCACTTGTGGAAGATTGAAATTAGATGCCTACCTCTTACCCTGCACAAAACTCAATTCAAAATGGGTCAAGCATCTAGGTTTAAAACCTGAAAATTTGAAACTTTTAAACAAAAACTTAGGGGAAACACTTGAAGCCATAGGCACAGGCAAAGACTTCCTGAATAGGACTTTAGGCACAGGGAAAAATAGCAAGAATCAACAGGAGAATTCAAATTCAAAAGTTTCTAGATAGCAAGGGAAATAAATAACAGAGTGAAGAGACAGCCTGTGAAATGGAAGAAAAATCTTTACCAGCTACTCTTACAACAGAGGATTAATATCTAGGATATATAAAGAACTCATAAAACAACACCAAAAAATCAAGTAGCCAATCAACAGATGGACAAAAGAATTGAACAGATGTGTCTCAAAAGAAGTACAAATGCCCAATAAGAATATGAAGTAATGTTCAACATCTCATCCATTGAGAAAAGGCAAATTAAAACTACATTGTTTTGTGTTGTGGCACATGCATGATGCATGGAATCCCAGCACTCAGAAGGCTGAGGCAGGAGAATTGTTGCAAATTTAAGGCCACCGTGGACTGTATAGTGAGTTCAAGGCCAGCCTGGGGTACATAGCCAGACCCCATCTCAAAAAACCAAAAACATAAATAAAATAAAATAAAACTATACTGTGATTCCATCACATCTGTAAGAATGGCCACCATCAAGAATAGAAAAACAATAAATGCTGGTGCAGACAAAGAAAAAGGGAGGCTTATACACTGCTGGTAGGAATGTAAGTTAGTATAGCCACTATGAGGTTCCTCAAAAAAATTAAAAGTAGACCTACCACATGACTCAGTTATACCACTCGGTATGTACCCAAAGGAATTAAAGCCAGCTGAGTCTAGAGATACATGTGTACCCATGTTTATTGTGGTAATATAACAGTAACCAAGATACGGAAGCAGCCCAGATGCCCATCCATAGATGAATAGATGAAAGAAAAGTAAAACATATACACAATGGGAGTATTATCCAAACGTAAAGAAGAACAAAATTTTGTCATTTGCAGGAAAATGGTCTGAAGACCATTGAGTTGGGTGAAATAAGCCAGACTCCTAGAGATGACCATCACATGTTCTCCCTAATGTGTGGAATCTTAAAAAGATGACAAGAATGTAGAGAAGAGACATTATCAGACACGAGGAAGGAAATAAGAGTGAGGGAATCAAGATGTAAGGGTGAGTAATGAGGATAAGGAAATGAGTAAAATATACTATATGCATTGAAACTTTCCCCCCAAAATGTGAAACTGTTTGGGAGAGCAGGGTGAGGAGGAGATAGGGCATGAAAATCATCAAAGTATACTATATGCATGTACCAACCTGCCAGAGTAGAACACATTAATCTGAATACCAATCAAAGAAAGAGTGGAAAAACAAATGAAAATACAAAATGTGATCTATCCGTACACAACACCATGGATTATTACTGTATATTGTAATAAAATGCGTGAAGTACACATGCTACAATTTCCATGAATCTTGTGGGGAAAAAATTGACAAACTATAGCTCAAGGGCCAAGTCCAACCCTACACCTATGTCCTGTAAATAAATTTTCACTGGAATAAGCCAGGCCCATTTGTCTAGACATTGTCAGTGGCAGCTTTCATACTACAGTAGCACATTTCAGCAGCCTATGATCCTTAAAATAGATATTATCTGACTCTGTACCCATAAAGTTTGTTTTCCCCTAACACGGAGGAAGAAAGGCACTTTTGTCATTATTTATGTTCAACAAATCAGATATATCACCGATGTTTCTAAGTCAACTACAAGAAAAGGAAGTGAATTAGTATTTTGCTGATATCCCACTCTTAAAGCAAGTTGAGAAGATGGCCAGTATAAGGAGAACTATTACTAGACTGCTGTTATTGGATGTTTTCTTGAATTTGAGTTCATATGTTCAAGTTGGTTTGCTGATATGATTTAACTCAACTCTTTAAGAAAACTTCACCGAGCTTCTTGCTTTTGCAAGTCTGCTTTGGGCTCTGTGAAAGCCAAAGAGGAAATGTTCAAATACCTACATCATGACACAAATAGTTGAGGGAAAGAGACGTGTGCAGCAAAGTCAGCAAAAGCAGCCAAGACAGGATAACAAATTACTGTTGCTCTGCTCTCTGTAGAAGAAAGTGCTTTTAAAACTTCTCTTGTTAAATCTATCTTTTCCAGCTTATCCAAACCATCTTAGGCCTCAGTAATCCTTTCTTTAGAAGAAAAATATTGTAAATTATGAAACTGTATTGTATGTACAATATTTGTGCAAACCATCCCCCCAAAATGTCTTGTGTTGGTTGGTGGTTTTGTGCCACTTTATTATTGTTATTGTTGCTGATGTGTCGGGGTATGCTGTTGTTGATAATTAAGCGCAGATGTCTGGAAAATTGATGCACTCCATTTGGACCATACAGTATTCACTCAACCAAAACTGCATATCAACTGGCCAACAAATTTTATTACAATTATTCTTTCTTTTATTTTAAAGAGAAAAAATACTAAAAACAATGATGCAAAATTTCAAACAAAGACAGGAGAGTAACAATGGTTGGTACATTGCTTGTTATCTTCAAAGTAGTTGCTCCGATTACAAGATATAGGCATGAAAAAGTGATCAAATGACATAATCACAAACCTTTCTTTTCAATGAACTGATAGAAATTAGTAGTATAGCTATTATAACTATCTTGTATGCATATAGTTTTTTTCCTTTTCCCTTCTTTCTTTTCTCCTTTCCCCCACCCCAGTTTCTCTTTCCCAATATCTACTGTACATTTTGGCTTTTATTTACTCTCAAATGGATGTAACTTGAGTCCATACTCATAAGTGAAATAAATCAGTCTCGCATGTGTAAACATCAAATTGTCTCCCTAGTGTAAGAAGCTGAAAGAGTAATTACACTTATTCTAAGAGTGTGTCGTTAGCCAAACTCTAAAGTCTAATTTTCACTCTCAAAAGTACCTTTGTTAGGAGGGGCCACTATCTCCTATCCTGTTGCCTTTTCCCAGGAACAGCAACAGATGTTTTTGTAGGTGATTGAATATCTTTGGCATATAAAAAAAAACTGCCCTTTGTTGAATCTGAGTGATGGGTAAGTGTAAGTAAATTATTTTACCTATTTTTAATGTGTTTGAAAATGTCCATAATCGGGGCTGGGGATTTAGCTCAGCAGGACAGCGCCTGCCTGGCAAGCACAAGGTCATGAGTTTGATTCCTGGTACTGGAAAAAAAAAAAACAACAACAACAACAAAAAGAAACTGTCCATATTCAAAGTTTTTTATTAAAAAAGGAAAAATTTTAAAAAAAGATTTTTAAAAAATAAAACCCTATTATCAAGTTTGGTTGATTTTTAATCATGAACATCTTTCCTTCTGCCATTAGTGTCAGGGCTAGAGCTTATAATATTCATTAATAGTCCTTCCTAGGATGGCACCGGTGCATAAAGAAATCAAGGCATTCAGAAGAGAAAAATAAAATCACTGCTTAATGCTTCCTAGTGGAGCAATCCATTGAGAGGCATAGCCTAGTATCAAGTTAAGCCGGAAAACACTTGAAGCAGGGAGTGTTGCATGTACAGCTGGCCCTCCATATCTGGATTTGACCAACTGTAGTTGAAAATATTTTTTTAAAAAATACATTTTTATTGAATATGTACAATTTTTTCCTTGTCATTATTCCCTGAGCAATATAATTGCAGTTATTTGTATAGCATTTACTTTGTTTTTTATTAACATTATTAGTAACTTCAGACACATAATGTTCACATCCATCATAGTGAATTGGTACCTGTGCATAATATATCTTCCTTCTCTTTTTCCCCCAATTCCTTCCCTTACCTTCAACCCCTCTCCCCATAGCTCTATTTTTTTTTTTTTTTTTTTTTTTTGAGACAGGATCTTACTATATAGGTGCTGGCTGGCTTTGAACTCACTGTATACCCCAGGCTGGCCTTGAACTCAAGGCAATTGTCTTGCCTTAGCCTACTGGCATAATATTGGTCTTTTTATTTTTTTATTTTGAGACAGGGTCTCACTTTATAGTTCAGCTGACCTTGAACTCATGGCAATCCTCTTGCCTCAGCCTCCCTTGTGCCACCATGCCCATCTTTTCCCATCCTTAGCTACAAAAGCTTTGTTTCTATTTTTTGCCTTCTTTTTTTTTGTATTTTTTTATTTTAAAAATAGGAGGAAAATATTAACAGACAGACAACCTTTTACAAAGTAGCAAAAGAACAGTACAGACAATACAGAGTTACAAAGTAATAGGAAATTAACAATGCGTGTTGTATTACATATTGATATCTTCAAAGTGGCTTCTCATGAAAACAGATAGAGACATGCAATACTGATCAATCAAGGACTCACTGACAGTTTCTTTCAGCAAAGAAATACAAGACAGAACAACTATGTTAGCTGTCCTGTATATACATACATACAACATTTCTCCTTCTTTCCCTTCTCTTTTCCCACATCCAGGTTGCTCTTTACTCTTGAGTGTTTTCCTATCATTTCACAATGTCTATCATACCTCCTAGTTTAAATTAACTCTTTCAGGTTTTACACTAGTGAAACAATGTGGGGCTGGCACATGCAGGTCTGATTTCTTTCACTTATGAGTATGGTCTCTAGTTGTGACCATTTACCTATAAAGGCCTCGAGTTTGTCTTTCCTTATAGCTAACTAATATTCCATTATATAAAAATACAAGAATTTTCTTATCCAGTCCTCAGTGGATGGACATTTGGGTTGCTTCCACAATTTACCAATTACATATTGTGCTGCTATGAACATAGGTGCACATATATCACTATGATATGATGTTTTTAGATCTTCTGGGAAAATACCCAGAAGGAGAATAGCTGGGTTGAATGGGACCTCTAGACCTAGTTTTCAGAGGAATCTCCAAACTGATTTCCACAGTGATTTCACCAGTCTGTATTCCCACCAGCAGTGGAGAAGAGTTCCTATTTCTCCGCAGCTTCACCAGCATTTCTTATTGGTTGATTTCTTAATGATAGCCATTCTTACT